GATTTGAGTGGGGACTGAGGAGCCTGGCACTGATTCCCTGAGTTCTCCAGCAACGCCAAAGATGGTCAATCTGCAACCAATAATTGCACAGTTTGTACGTTCTGTCCTCATTTCCAATGCAGAGTAGAAAAAAATATGAAAAAATCCCATTTTCCTACCAGTGGGACTGGGTAAGGGGCAAAGACTTCCTGAGCCTCACCCCCCTTAATAATCCTGGATTTGGACAATGTGTAAATACTCGAGTGAAAGACTCTGAACGAGACTGAAGTGCTTGCAGGGTGTAGTGGAGTTGTCCTTTGAGTGTGAAGTGATGGCACTCAAGGTGAGGCAGTGTTTTACCTCCTTGTTTTTAATGACGCATTTCCTTTACTGCTTTTTTAACACTTCCATTGGGTGCTGATCTCAGAGCAGAGTGATTTCTCTGGGACTGACTCAGGCCCTCACAAACAAAGGTCAGGAATTAGAATTATGCCAATAAACTCCATGAGCAGGTGCTGGCCTGGACTGGGATTGCTTAAGAAGAATAATCAGGATTTTTGTGGGAGAGGGAGGACAGTGAAGATCCCCCCGGATGCTCTTTCTGTTCTGGGGCTGGCTCATTTGCAAGCTGAATTCATGGCTAATGAGTCAAAAATGTGATTATTTCCAGGAATGTTTAGGCACCAGCAGGTCTCAGAGCATGTGACAGTTCTTTCATTTTCTTTACCTCAGAATCGTGTTCTCACCTTTTCCCTGGGGTTTTAATGTGAATTTCCCTCTGTTCAAGGCCACAGTTCAGATTTAGCTCCTCCAAAAGCCTCGCTGAGAGCTGAGGAGCGAAAGCAGGGGTGAGGGAGGGGAGCAGTGGGGACGCGGCTCCTGCACTGCCTTTATCTCTGAATTTGGCTCTGTTCAGGGCAGATATCAGCCTCTGGCTGGGGCTCCTCAAGGTGCCTGGAGAGATTAAAAAATAACCTGAAATAACCTCAACTTTGGGCACATCCGCTGAAGGCATTGCAGCTGTGAACCCGGGCGAGTTCCTGGGCCGATGTTTTTTGGGACAGCAGGAGCCAGAGTGGCCTCCTGAGGTGTGGGCACCTGCCAGGCTCTCTGTGTTCCTTCCAAAACCTCCTCTGAGTCATGGAACTTCTAATAAAGTCATGTTCTCCTTTGAAAAAGAACCGATGGCCGCGATGTTCTTTTGTTCTGGGTCTTGAGGGGAGGCTGAGGATGCCAAAGCCACCGGAGCATTCCCTCTGTGCAGCTCAGGAACAGAGAGGCGCTGAGGAAATGAGCCCAGGCTGGAGCTGTGGGGCTCAGCTGGAGCTCAGGTTTGTGAGCAAGGCACCCACAACCTGCTTTGCTAATTAATCGGTGCTGCAGAGGGATGGGGAGCCCCCAAACCGAGGAGTTTTCTCCCCATAAATGATAACAATAATAACTTAAATTCTTTTCATGCCCTCCTCCATCCCAGGGGTGCTTCTGTTTTCTCTCTGCCTCTCTGGTTTCACTGGGGCAGTGCCCAGTTCATAAGAATTGCAGGGTAATTGTGGTTCTCTTTTCTTAGAGAAGCAATCAAAAGCATCTTGGGGGTTATAAGGTGTGGGGGCCTGAATATATGTTGTATTGTAAGACCTGTGTGGTTCTGAGTTGCTCCAAACGAGCTGCAGCTGCAGGGTCCTTAGTTGGGCAGCAGCTGTAGCTCGTGAAGGTAACTGANCCCTGCTTGGCCGCAGAACCCGGCAAGGTTGATGGAAGGGAAGGAGCGTGGTGTCCTGGATGATCGGGATTAGTTAATAAGGTGATTTGAGTCTGCTGGCTGAGGGGAGAGCGGTGTTCCACAAGTTCCTTTGTGCAGAGGGGGAATTGCTGGCGGTGGAGACATCCTGCTTTTCATTGCACGTCTGTGCTGCTCACGGGTTGTAATTTCTGGAGGTGTAGCATGGAAGTTTCCTGAAGTTCTCAGGTATAAATGTTATTTCCAAGTGGCTGATTAGATCTGTGCTGCTCACGGGTTGTAACTTCTGGAGGAGTAGCACGGAAGTTTTCCTGAAGTTCTCAGGTATAAATGTTATCTCCAAGTGGCTTGTGATGCCAGAACAAGGGGGAATGGCTTCACACTGACAGACATATGTTTGGGTGGGATATTAGGAAAAAAAATTAATCTTTATTTGTTGTAATTTCTGGAGGAGTAGCATGGAAGTTTCCTGAAGTTCTCAGGTATAGATGTCATTTCCAAGTGGCTTGTAACATCTGTGCTGCTCATGAGCTTTAATTTCTGGAAGTGTAGTATGGAAGTTTCCTGAAGTTCTCAGGTGTAGATGCCATTTCCAAGTGGCTCGTAGTGCCAGGACAAGGGGGAATGGCTTCACACTGACAGAGAGTGTATAGGTGAGATATTAGGAAAAAAATTAATCTTTATTTGCTGTAATTTCTGGAGGTGTAATATGGAAGTTTCCTTAAGTTCTCAGGTATAAATGTTATTTCCAAGTGGCTCGTAGTACCAGGACAAGGGGGAACGGCTTCACACTGACAGACATATGTTTAGGTGGGATATTAGGAAAAAAAATTAATCTTTATTTGCTGTAATTTCTGGAGGAGCAGCATGGAAGTTTCCTAAAGTTCTCAGGTATAAATGTTATTTCCAAGTGGCTTATTAGATCTGTGCTGCTCATGGGTTGTAACTTCTGGAGGAGTAGCATGGAAATTTCCTGAAGTTCTCAGGTACAGATGTTATTTCCAAGTGGCTCGTAGTACCAGGACAAGGGGGAATGGCTTCACACTGACAGACATATGTTTAGGTGGGATATTAGGAAAAAAAAATAATCTTTATTTGCTGTAATTTCTGGAGGTGTAACATGGAAGTTTCCTGAAATTCTCAGGTACAGATGTTATCTCCAAGTGGCTCGTAGTACCAGGACAAGGGGGAATGGCTTCACACTGACAGAGAGTATGTATAGGTGAGATATTAGGAAAAAAATAATTCTTTATTTGCTGTAATTTCTGGAGGAGTAGCATGGAAGTTTCCTGAAGTTCTCAGGTATAAAAGTTATTTCCAAGTGGCTTGTAACATCTGTGCTGCTCATGAGCTTTAATTTCTGGAGGAGCAGCATGGAAGTTTCCTGAAGTTCTCGGGTATAGATGCCATTTCCAAGTGGCTTGTGATACCAGGACCAGGGAGAATGGTTTCACACTGACAGAGAGTAGGTTTAAGTGGGATATTAGGAAAAAAATAATTTCTTTATTTGCTGTAATTTCTGGAGGAGCAGCATGGAAGTTTCCTAAAGTTCTCAGGTATAAATGTTATTTCAAAGTGGCTCATAGTGCCAGGACAAGGGGGAATGGCTTCACACTGACAAAGAGCATGTTTAGGTGGGATATTAGGAAAAAAAATTTGTGAGAGTAATGAGGTTGCCCAGAGATTGCAGTAATTTCTGGAGGAGTAGCACGGAAGTTTTCCTGCAGTTCTCAAGTATAAATGTTATTTCCAAGTGGCTTGTAGTGCCAGGACCAGGGGGAAAGGTTTCACACTGACAGAGAGTATGTTTAAGTGGGATATTAGGAAATAAATAATTCTTTAGCCCAGAGAAGCTGTGGTGGGTCCCTGGAAGTGTCCAAGGCCAGGTTGGGGCAAGCTGGGATAGTGGAAAGTTGGAACAAAATCATCTTTAAGGTCCCTTCCAGCCCAAACCATTCTGGGATTCTGAGCAGATTCCAGGCAGGAATTTCTCTCTCAGACTGTGTTGTACACGNGTCCATGTGCTGGGCAGGCTGGGGTGTGAAGGGGAAGCAGAACCAAATATTGCCACCTAATTCCTGGCACTACTTGGATAATGTTGGAAATTCAGGAGGAGAGAAGCACGATTGATCTATAAAGCAGGAAAATAGAAAATCTTATAATAGGACAATCTTAAATAGAACCCCCATCTTACTCACACCTTCCATTGCAGGCTCACCAAACACCCATCTCCAGATCCACCTAATAGTGCCAAATAATTCCTGGCACTTGGATAAGGCTGGAAATTCAGGAGGAGAGAAGCCCAATCGGCCTGTACTGGTCTATAAAGCAGAAAAATAGAAAAAAACTTAAATAAAACCCCAAGCTTATGCACACTTTCTATTCCAGGTTCACCAAACACCCCTCTCCAGGTCCACGTGCTGGGCAGGCTGGGGTGTGAAGGGGAAGCAGAACCAAATATAATACATATATTAGGTGGCTCCTAATAGTGCCAAATAATTCCTGGCACTTGGATAAGGCTGGAAATTTGGGAGGTTAGACCCACAATCGACCTGTACTGATCTATAAAGCAGGAAAATAGAAAAATCTTAAATAAAACCCCGATCTTATGCACATCTTCCATTCCAGGTTCACCAAACACCCCTCTCCAGATCCACCTAATAGTGCCAAATAATTCCTGGCACTTGGATAAGGCTGGAAATTCAGGAGGTCAGACGCACAATCGACCTGTACTGATCTATAAAGCAGAAAAATAGAAAAATCTTAACTAAAACCCCAATCTTATGCACACCTTCCATTGCAGGCTCACCAAACACCCCTCTCCAGGTCCATGTGCTGGGCAGGCTGGGGTGTGAAGGCGAAGCAGAACCAAATATAATACATACATTAGGTGGCTCCTAATAGTGCCACCTACTTCCTGGCACTTGGATAAGGCTGGAAATTTGGGAGGTTAGACGCACAATCGACTTGTACTGATCTATAAAGCAGAAAAATAGAAAAATCTTAAATAAAACCCCGATCTTATGCACATCTTCCATTGCAGGCTCACCAAACACCCCTCTCCAGATCCACGTGCTCTCCCTGACCTTGGGCTACTTCATCTTTGACCTGGGCTGGTGCCTGTACNTTTGCAGGTAGATAATTCTGTATGGGGAGAAGGAAGTTTCAGCTTCTGCAGCTTCTCAAATGTTACCAAACACAGATTTTCAGCAGTGCTGTTTGAACCCTGGCTTGTGTCAGAATGAGATCTCTCCAGTGCCACAATCCTCAAATTATATTCTCTATTTCTTTAGATTTTACCTCATTCTTTTTAACCCCAGACAGAGGATGAAGAAAGAGAAGGAGACTCAGGGCAGGATGTGCAGCAGATTCCTCTGTCCTTGCTGCTTTCCTTATGCTGATGTGCAATGAAAGCTCAGTGCTATAAAAATGCTGACTGCCCCGTGGATTATCCAGGTTTAGGAGCTGTAATAAGCTGTCACTCCAGAAGCTTTGCTAGATTAGGCTCTCTGTGTCTCAAAATCAGCAAAGCCTTGTGTCCCACAACCGGCATTTCCAGAGTGCAGGATTGCAGGGAGAAAAATCTGGTGCCCGTTTCAAGGTGGGAGATGAAATTGCACAGAAACGTGGAGCACAGCACAAATTTATTTGTGTTTTCTGGGACTGGGTCCTGTGTTCCTTAGGAGTCACAAATTTCTGGGAATATCTGGGAAATGAGCTTGGGAATTGTTTCCCCTGTGCTTTTCCCCTCCAAGGTGTAAAGGTTTGGCAGTTGGCTTCCAAAAGCAGCAAAAACCAGGAGCTGAAGGAGCAACCTGTAGTGAGCATAAATAACAGCTCAAAAATCCTGAGTATTCTCTCACTGGCTTGAAATGGATTAATTTTAAGGAGGAAAAGCATCTTTATGCACTTGATTTTTGTGGTGGAGCTCAGTGAAACTCAGCTGATCATCTGAAACACAAACTGAATTTTTTCTGAAAGAGAAATGCTCCCAGGCGCTGTTTATCCACACTTAAAACCTTAAAGCAATTTGTGCCGAGTGTAAATAACAGTTCCAAATACCTGAGCTTTCTCTCATTGGCTTGAAATTGATTACTTGTAAGGAGAAAAATGCTTCTTTATGCACTTGATTTTTGTGGTGGAGCTCAGTGAAACTCACTTGATAATATGAAACACAAACTGAATTTTTTTTTTTTTTTTCTGAAAGATAAATGCTCCCAGTCTCTGTTTATCCACACTTAAAACCTTAAAGCATCACTTTTTGCTGATTTTTATCTCTGTTTGTGCTGAGCTGACAGCGGTGCAAATTGGGAATGCTCCTTTTTTTTTCCAAATTTTACCTTTTACCTGCCCGGGGCTCAGGTTGGAGGAGCCATTCGAGGCTTTCCCAGCAGATGGCAACAGCTCCTCGGTGCGAGCCTGGAAAAGGGGATTTGGCCAAAGGAGCCTCGCTCAACACTTTCTCTATAAATCTGATTTTACAGGAGCCCCTCTAAAGCACCTTAAAGGATGTGACCTTTATTTTAAGGCAAAATAAGAATTAATCTATAGGAATTAATCTCCTCTGCTTCAGGGTCCTGTTTAGCTCTGTTGTGGATTGAAAAACGGATTGAGGAGTTTAGTTAGAGAATCACAAAATGGTTTTGTGTTGGAAGAGACCTCAAAGATCATCTTGCTCCAACCCTCCTGCCACGGGATGGTTCTGTGTGTAAAGTCACGACTTCAGAGCTCAAAAAAAAAAAAGATAAAAATTAATGGGCACACTGGAATTGCTTATTGATTTCCCCACCCCATATTTCAGGTTGTGAAACAGAATTATCATAAATAGACATCTATCTTAATCTAAGTATGTAACCAGCTCCCACAAAAAAAAATTTAAAAAAGGATCAGCATTTGCAGAAAAGAGAAGCAGTTACAGTTTCAGAATCTGTCTTAGGATTTCCTCCAGCTAATTGTTCTCGTTATGTTGTCATGCACAATAAAATATAATTAAAGTAATAAAAAAGCATCGAGGCCTAATATGCAAATGCTGGGCCTGCCAGGAATCAGATCTCCCAGGAGCTTTCCCCTCTCCAGGCACAGTACTCGATGTTCCCAAGTTCAAAGCAGGGAGGGATTTATTGCAGAGAAGATGCAATAAAGAGATCTATAATAAATAAATATAGATATATGGAGGCATTCAGTCACTTCATCAGCGCTGATGGCTGCATTGCACACAGCTGCAGAAGGACAGGCAGACGTGGCTCCTTGTCTTGCACTCCCACACTTCCTTTATTTATTATTTTTTTTTTCCCCCAAAAGGAAACCAAAAAAGGAAGCACAAATGCCCTGTGCATCATGTAAAAAAACCATTATCATCCCACGCTTCCCCTCTTTGCTGCGAACTCCAACAAAACAAGCAATTCTTNATCTTCCCGCCGGGACTGAAAAAAATGTGGATAACGGGATAACGGGGCTGGGCTGGAGGTGCCCGTGTGGGTTTTAATCGTTTTCGGGGTGTTCTGCACGCCGGGCTTTTAGGCATGTGTGTTTATTGTAGAGGCCGCTTTCATTCTGGGCCTCATTACTACCGGTGATACAAATTATAATATAGATATTAGATACATGGATACATCGATAATTATAGATATTATATAATAGATATAGTATAATAATAATTATATAGTATATATATATATAAAAATATAAATATAAATATAAATATAAATTATATATGCAGCTGTATTATAAATTATAATATAGATAGATATCTATATAATATATAATTATAGTATAGATATATAATATTATAATATAGATATTAGATACATGGACACATAGGTAATATAGATATTATATAATAGATATAGTATAATTATAATTATATATATTATATGCTATATATTATATAAATATTATGTATGTAATACAAATATAATATATATTATATAAATATATAAAATATATAACATATTATATATTATAATTATATATTATATATTATATATAAAATTATATATCTATATTATAAATTATAATATAGATAGATGTATGAATAATATAGATTAGATAATATAGGTATCATATAATAGCTATTGTATAATTATATACATATAATTATATATGTTTCTCTCTATATTATAAATTACAGATATATAGATAAAAGATATTAGATACATAGCTATATAGATAATATAGATATTATATAATAGATATAGTATATCTATTATAACATTATAGACATTATCGCATATATTATTATCTATAGATACATAATATATGAGATAATGCAAAATAATAAATAGGGAAATACATAATTTTATATGTGATTGCATGTTGTTTGTTCATTTATTGTGTCTATGTATATTATATAGAATTACTTGTTATTTATTATCTAGGATTTTTTGTTATTTATTGTTCTATAATTATTGCTGTTTTTAAATTATATTGGCCTTCCTAGCGTCAGTCCCTTTTGTCACTTTTCCCTTCCTCATCTGCTCTGAGTCTGGAGCTGGGGCAGCAGGGATGTGAACGGCAATGCCTGCTCAGAGCAGTTATCCCATCCCTGTTTCCCCTCCCCGTGTTCCCAAGGCCCATTAAAACAAGATGGATTTGTTTACCCAGCCTCCAGTCCCGCCTGGGAATGCTCCAACAGGCCCGACAGGAAGGTTGGGCTCTGCACCTCTGACTCCTCATCCCGTGCAGTCCCTCTGGTGCTCCCCAGAGCTGGGCAGCAGCTTTGGCACAACTGGAAACTCCTGTANATCTTTAAGGTCCCTTCCAGCCCAAACCATTCTGGGATTCTGAGCAGATTCCAGGCAGGAATTTCTCTCTCAGACTGTGTTGTACACGCCATGGACAGCAGGGATTGACAGCAAGGCTGAGTTTGTGTTCAGGCTGGGCTGAGGAAAGGGAAATCCACTGAAATTTACCTGCTGAAATTTAAATGCCCAAACACCCCGTGTGTGGCTCATGTGTTTGTGTTCAGGCTGGGCTGAGGAAAGGGAAATCCACTGAAATTTACCTGCTGAAATTTAAATGCCCAAACACCCCGTGTGTGGCTCATGTTTTGCTACTTTTGCAGGAACAGGCCCTCGGCCGCAGTGTTTCCGGAATGAACAGGGAGGGATCAGTTTCTTGGATTTATGCTGATCTTAACCTGTGAGAAAAATTCCCGATGAAATTTCCGTGCGTGGGAAATGCGGGATTGGACAACAGAGCCGCGAAAGGCCTGGGAGCAAACAGCCCAGCTCTGCACAGCTCCTGGCACTTCTACTCTTTTCATTCGCTGCTTATTTATTTTCTTTCTGCTCCAAGTTTCGCCTGTGTCATATTTTCCATGGAGATGGAGGCGCGGGCGCTCTGGGCGCTGGTGACACGGCAAAGTGTCGAATGGAGAAGGGAAAAAGGGAAACAAGGGAGAGAGAAAAGGGGAAATCTCCTCGGGTTAGGGACGCAGGGGGATGGAAAACTGATCGGCAGGGACACGGGGTGAGGGAGGAGCGGAGACGGGAAGGGAAGGAAACAGCCCGCGGGTCTGGAAAACGCTTCCCGAAGGGAAAAGGCCTAGGCAGGGACCGGGGGAAGGGCTGTGAGCGAGGAGGAGGAGCGGGGGAAGAGACGGGGGAGGAGGAGAAGGAGGGGAAAGAGGAGAAGGGAA